AAGGTCCCTTCCCACCCAAACCATTCCCTGGCCCATGAGCAGAGGGGTGTTGATCCTCCCTTTCCCTCATCCCTGGCTGGTAGGAGGAGAGGTGAGGGTTGGTGGCATTGAGAGTGGAGGTTGTGCCCTCAGGGATGGGTGAGTGTGGCCACCAGGGAACCTCCAACCTCTCCATTCCCAGGCTGGACTTCGCCAACGTGCCCAGGACAATAAGTTGGACTAGATGGGCTTTAAATTCCCTTTCAACCCAAGCCATTCCAGGATTCATTCCATGATCCCACAAAGATGTTCACTGAACTTGAAAGAAGCTCCTGCTACTGCCTGGGATGGGGGTCTGAGGCTGGCACTGCACTGGGAAGGAAAGAAAGATCTGTCACTCATGGAGCAGACAGAGAAAATCATGTCCTAATTACAGTGAGACAAATGTATGCATTTCCAGTGGATATATGGAATTGAGGAAACGTCACAATTCGCTTTAGGGATTACTGGAAATGCAAAGAGAAAACCAATAATTTAATAGCAATATCAAAGTGGAGGCAGAAAGTCCTGTCCTTGACAACTCACTCATCTGTGATGAATAGAAATGAAAGGACATAATTTCCTCCAGTTTTGTGCATTATTTGATAGGCAGAACTGAGGTAATAGAACATAATTGAATTATACTTTCATTTGTGTGTGTGTGTGCAACCATTTCATTTACAGCCAGGATTCCTTGCAGGAATACAATGCAGATATTCCCAACAATACACAGAATGCACAGTCCCTTTCAAGTCAGAGCAAAGAGAGGAAGCCTTTGAGGTCCCTGAGAGCATCATTTCTGCCCCTATTTACTCAGGAGACTTCAAAAAAGAAGAATTCTAATTCCCAGATTTTGAATTAGAATCAGAATCCCAGGATGGTTTGGGTTGGAAGGGACCTTCCCAGCCTGGAATGGGCCCCTCCAGAGCTGTGTTTAGGGTACAACTCAGCCTGGCTCAGCTCAGCCACCCCAAAGACAGGCAGGTCTAAATTCAGCCTGGCTTAAACCAACCACCCCAAAGCCAGGCTTGATCCTGGCTCAGCTCAGCCACCCCAAAATCAGGCAGGCTTAAATTCAGGCTGGCTCCATCCCAAGGCAGGCAGGATTAGGCTGAGCCTGGCTCAGCTCAGCCCCCCCACAGTCGGGTGTGCAGTCTGAGGTCACGGATCTTGTGGAGATCTCAGCGCCCCTAAAGCTCAATTCCTGCTTTCCAAAAATAGCTGGCACAAGCTGCTCTTCAACCCCCCCTTCCCCGAGCTGAGCTCTCCCTGACACCTCAGACAAACCCTGCTGCAACAGCAACGGCCTAATTAGTGCATCAGCAACGAGTGGCTAATGAGGAGCTGCCAAGAAAGGCCCCTCAGGGTCGTGGAGGAGCAATCTGGACACAAAGCAAACATCAGCAAGACGTGCTTGGGAGAAGGGACTTCTCAAACTGGGAGGAAGTTTGATGGGAAATCCACGGATCCAAGGGTGCTGAACCTGGTTCTTACAAAGCTGGGACCTGTGGAGAGAGCTCTGCATGCCCTGAGATGTTGACCTGCACCAAGGAGGGGGCAGGGGAGACCACCAGGACCGGGGGAGGGGGAGATGATGTGACCCCAGGTGAAAATAAAGGAGATACTTTCTTTGGGTCATAGAGGCATTAGGGTTGAAAAAACCTCTGAGATCATGAAGTCCAACTGATTTCCCCCAGCACTGCCAAGGCCACCACTGACCCATGTCCCCAAGTGCCACATCCACACAGTTTTTTAACACCTCCAGAGATGGGGACTCCACCCCTTGGGAATATTTTTCCCAGCTTCCCTAATTCCCTTAACACTGTGTTGTCTGAATGACCAGAAACAAAGTAAGTTTATCAGGACAAACTACATCTTAATGAATTAAACCCTTTTTTAATTTGTTTCTTGCATTCCCCAGACAAAACAGCAGCTTCAGCTGTGATTTCAATAAGCTTTGTCGGGCAGCTGAAAAATCCCATATTGAAACCCTCATCTTTCCTGGTAGAAGTTCCTGTGCTGGGTGATTTTATGTTGGAAGCTGCCAAAAATCAGCCTCAATTAATGTATTAAGGACTCCCTGCACTAAAGAGCCTGAACTGGCTGCTAAATTATAAACTAATATAATTTCCAAATGAACCTGTGCCACCAAATTGAGATAAACCTTGGATTTGCTTTTGCTTATTCATATTAGAACGAGTATTATGAGAAGCCCAGAATTCCAGGGGTTTTATGGGTAAATATCCTGCCTTTTCTCCGACAGTTTGGAACAATGAACGCTCCTGAAAGGATCCATTCATGTTATTATTAGCTCAGAGCACTCAGATGTGCCATTCAGCCTGAGCTGGGTCTAAAATTACCTTCCCCAGCTCCGAAGATGAGACAGTGACTCACAGGGAGACTGGGGATGGATCTTGGTGTCATCTGTCAGTGGTTCCTGTCTGACACCCAGCACAGCTATGCTGGGAATAACAGATCCATGGATTTCTGCAGGAGGACAAGCTTGTCCCTGCTAAGGGGCACCTCCTGACCAAAGCATTTCCAGGCCCTGAGAAGCTGTGGCTGCCCCTGGATCCCTGGAAGTGTCCAAGGCCAGGCTGGAGCAAGCTGGGCTGGTGGAAGGTGTCCCTGGGTGGCACTGGATGGGATTTAAGGTCCCTTCCAACCCAAACCATCCTGTGATTCCATGAAATGTGGAACAGCCAAATTGCCAGCGATTTTCCATTAGATCCCACACTTTGCAGCTGAATTTGTAGCCACAGCAATCCCAGTCCCTGTGGTGCCGTTTGCACCTCGCAGACACTCCTGTCTCTCCATGACGAGCCTCCAGCTCCAAATTAAAAACACATGGACAGGGTAGGACAGCCCTGCACCAAAACAGGATCAGCTTCAGGCTCTGATTTTCATTACTTTGGATTTATCTTGGATTCCTCTGGGTTTACAATTTCTGTAATTTCTGTGGAGTTACACCAGGTGATGTTTTACCACAGAACTTCCATGTGTGATGAAACCTTATTAAATGAGAGAAGTTTTGTCTCAGAGTCATCAGCACATCAGTCCCTGTCTGGAACGAGCTGTTGCAGTAATCACTATTCACATCTAATCTTGCCCTTGATGGTTACAACCAAATTCCTCGTGAGTAAGTGTGAACCCGTGTAATTTTTCAGGGCTTGTTTGCTTTGGAAATTACTCCAGCAGAGTAATGCAGCAAGACAACCTTATTCCAAAATAAACATGACATCTGGAAGGTGGCAATAATTCATTCTTTTAGCAAAATTACCCCACATTCTCTTGCCCTCAGCAACAGCAAAGTTATCACTGGGGAAAATGGGAGAGGTGACGATTCCCACGCTCTTCTTGTGGATGAAGGTGGATGAGTTACTGCTTGGAGGTTGCTCCCACCTCCCAGCCACACGTCCCTGGGGCAAAGAGGCTTCTGCTCTGAAACCAGAGCAGCTCATGAGGGACAAACCTCACTGCAGGATATGTTTTTTCCCCTGGCAAAATTAACGAGGGACTGAATTAAGGGCTCCCAAATCGTTTTGCCAGGTACCTGCAGATCCTCCATAATTGCCAGGCTGTGAACCTGGCTGTGTGCAGCAGTGAAAGCACCACAGGCCTCAAGTCCCTGCTGTCAGATCAGCAATTCAGGAGGAGCTGAAGGCAAACCCTTGGAATCAAAGCCGTGAGGACAGAGATAATGTGAGGTGTGTGAGTGCAAATAAAACGCGCCGTTCATCGCCGACGTCCTGGGAATGTTGATGCCTCCCCTGTGCTCTGTTCCTTTGCTCCCTGATTTCAGGGCCCTGAGGCAAAACCTGTTAAGGCATAACCCAACCTGATCCAAGCTGAAGCATCCAAATGTTCCAGCATTTCCTGCAGAGCTGTTCTCCCAAACGCACTTCTCTGAAATTCCTGATGATTCCGAAATCCGAGCTGAGAGCTCTGCTCTGAAGTGTTTCAGACACTGCAGGTCCCGGACACAGAGACCTTAGGACAGTTCAAATCTTTGATTACCATCCTGGAAATCAGCATTCCCAATTACATTCCTTGGGATTGATCACTGGTGTGAAGCTCTCAAGACACAAAACCATAACAAGGGGCAGAGACACAACCAGCTGTTTGCTCAGGCAGGGACAAGCCCAAAGAAAAGAGTAAATTCCCCAGAAATTCCAGAAATGGAAACAGCTTGGCCAGAGATTCTACCTAAATAGTTATCCTTTTGCAAAGCATTTCCACACAACTGCTTGGAAATTCCCATTTGAGCTAATTAAATCTGAAATAAAACATTTCTATTTAAATCAATGCACCAAATCGAAGGCTGAGTCAATGTAAGAACATATCAAATCAATCCCATGAAAAAAAATCAATCCTTTAAATCAATGTAAGAATATGAAAAGGTTGTGGTTTGTCTTTTGGTTTTTTTTTTCTAGGAAATATTTTTTTGAACAGAAACTGTCAGTTTTCAACACAGCACAGGAAAGACATGGAATTGTTGGAGGGATTCCAGGGTAGGTGAAAAGGAATGGAGCCCCTCTGCTCTGGGGACAGGCTGGGAGAGCTGGGAGGGTTCCCCTGGAGAAGAGAAGGCTCCAGGGAGACCTGAGAGCCCCTGGCAGGGCCTAAAGGGGCTCCAGGAGAGCTGGAGAGGGACTGGGGACAAGGCATGGAGGGACAGGACACAGGGAATGGCCTCATACTGGAAAGGGGAAGATTTGGGTGGGATATTGGGAAGGAATTTCTGGCTGGGAGGGTGGGCAGGCCCTGGCACAGGTTGGGCAGAGAAGCTGTGGCTGCCCCTGGATCCCTGGAAGTGTCCAAGGCCAGGCTGGAGCACCCTGGGCTCATGGAAGGTGTCCCTGCCCACGGCAGGGGAGTTGAAATGGGAAGATCTTTGATGTCCCCTCCCACCCAAACCGTTCCCCAATTCCAAGGCAGCCCCTGGACCGTGGTGAGGGTGAGGGGGCGCTGGGGGAGCCCACCTGTCCTGTTGGAGAGGCGGAAGGACACCATCTTGTCGGGGATGCTGCAGACGTTGCGCACCGAGGCGATGCAGCTGTAGTTGGCGTAGTCCTGAGGCCGCAGGTTCTTCAGCTTCAGGATCTTCGTTTCTCCCTGCCAGGGGAGGACGAGAATTAGGAAGGGACGGAGGAAGGCGGACAAGGAGGGATGAAGGGAACACCCAGACTTGGGAAGTTTGGCAGAGACTTTCAAGTCGCAGCGTTTTTTTGGGATAATTTATTTTAATAAATATTATCTATGAGAATAAAAAAAAAAAGAAAGTAAAAAATGTAATAAGATGTAAATAAAATAAGAGTTAAAAGAAATGATAAATAAATTGATTAAATTAGTAAATTATCAATAAAAAATAAAAATAGATAAAAATAGAATGAAATAAATAGAATAATAAGCAAAATAATGGAGTGGTAAGTAAAATGAAATAAATTCAAGTGGTAAATGAATTAAATAGAAATAAAAGATAAAATAAATTAGAAACTACAGAAAATAAAAGGAAAAAGAGAGAGAAGGAGAAGAAGACAGGAAGGAAGAAATGAAGAAAGAAAGAGAGAAAGAGAGAAAGAGAAAGAAAGAAAGAAAGAAAGAAAGAAAGAAAGAAAGAAAGAAAGAAAGAAAGAAAGAAAGAAAGAAAGAAAGAAAGAAAGAAAGGAAGGAAGGAAGAAAGAAAGAAAGAAAGAAAGAAAGGAAGAAAGGAAGAAAGAAAGAAAGAAAGAAAGAAAGAAAGAAAGAAAGAAAGAAAGAAAGAAAGAAAGAAAGAAAGAAAGAAAGAAAGAAAGAAAGAAAGAAAGAAAGAAAAGAAAGAAAGAAAGAAAGAAAGAAAGAAAGAAAGAAAGAAAGAAAGAAAGAAAGAAAGAAAGAAAGAAAGAAAGAAAGAAAGAAAGAAAGAAAGGAAAGAAAAGAAAGAAAGAAAGAAAGAAAGAAAGATAAAATTAATAAAAAATAAATTAAAATAAATTAAAAAAATTAATAAAGAAATACATTTCCACAATGCAAAAAGCCCAAGGTATTTACAGAAATCCTGCTGCTTCCCTTGGAAAAAGAGCTGCTGGTGGATTTTCTTTTCAGCCAGCGGTGTAACCACAGAGCAGGGCTATGGAATGCTGGAGTTCCTTCAGCAACATTTGGAAGGAAACTGGGCAGTGTGGGATTCCCACTGCAGTGCTCACAAAGCATCAAAAACCAAGCAGGAAAGGATCATTACGCAGTGTCCTGGGGTAGCTGAGCAACTCTGAACATCACCAAAGTTTGAGTGATGTATTTAACTTATTTTAACAATATCATGTGGACAAACTGCCTGGGAACACTGCAACAAAAATAGGGGGGTCTGAGGAAAGGCTTCTGTGGAACAGCAAGGAAAATAAATCTATAAAAAAGGAGATAGAAACGAACAGGCAAGAAAAACCAGTCCTTGAAATCAGGCCTGGGAGACGTCTGGAATGTCGGGACTCAGGTGGTTTTAACCTGTACTCAGTGGCACGGGAATGATGGGATTAAAGTGAAGCCCCTGTGATTTAATGTTTGCAATGGAAAGGCTGATCCTGGAGATGGAGATCCTGCCTTAAGGAGGTTTATCTGGGCTAGGGAAGGGCCTGATCCAGGCTGGCAAAGTTCTGGAAGCGCAGGGCGGCCACATCCCAGCAATTCCATCCTCGGCTCCGCTCCCCGAGTCCAACCTGCGGGCTGAGCCCACAATGGAATCCTGGATCATGTCCCCAGATTGCAGAGATTTACAAAAACCTACGTGTTTTCTTCACTGGTTTGGATAATTAGCCTAATTACGTCTAATTGCATAATTATTGTAAATACAGCAAATTTAATCTCGCACTCAGGCAATTACAATGTGTGACGAGGAGGATGCAAACTCGGAGGGGAAAAAACCTCCACTGAGGTTTGGGATTTGGGAAGTTCAGCATTTCCAGCGCTCCCACAGAGCTGAACCTTCAGGTTTGCTCTGGGTGGGCTTTAAGGTCCCTTCCCAACCCAAACCATCCTGGGATTTTGTGATTGCTGAGACAAGAAAACCATCAGAACTATCCCTTTTCTGGGGGTAAAAAAAATACCTGAGAAACTTTGAGTCACAACTTGTTTCCCTTTCCACCTGACCTGCTTTTCAGATTATAATCCACCTTTAAGCCCCTGAAGGAGAAAATTCCATCCCAAATTTGTGTCTCCTGCTGTCAAATCCCCTCCGTCCCCCTTCGCATCAGCTCTCACTGTCTGCAACCCCTCTCATTAGCTCAGCTAATTATGCAGAAGATGCTGATGACTCTTGACCCTTTAATTACATCTTTTTCCTCTTATAAACACAGATCAGGCCTTGTCAGCACAGAGACAGGACACCCTGATTCAAACTGACCTCCAAGAAAGGCATAAAGGTTATTATGGATGAGCTCTTAACCATCAACAGGACAATGTGATTTACTCATTAATTAAGCCCACTCATAGATTTTAGGAAGGATGATCCAAACAAGCTGAAAACATTAAAAAAAAAAAAATCTAATTTATCTAATTTCATGTGGCACATTTCATTAGATAAATTCTTAGATTTTAGGGGAGGCAATAATCAGCATTTCCATGCTGAAATATAAAATAGAAAGTCCCCCATCCACAGAGACTCTCACTTTTTAATTAAAACATTTAAAACCTCCACTTTACACACTTGAGTCCCAGCAAACAAGCCACAGATTTGCTAAACTGGGTCCGTACACGTTAAATTAAAAATAATCTCATTACATGGAGCAGACCAATAACTGGGCTCTGCAATCTAATTCCCATCTCTGCAAGGCTCCAGCTCCACATTTCTCAGGGAAATATGGAGCAATATAAAGCTGTCAAGCACAATAAAGGGGAAAAAAAATGAAGGTGCTCTCAAATTATGAGCTGAAAATTATTTATGAAAGTCACAGGTTGCTTTCTGCTCTGAACACCAAATTACCAGGCAGTTTTCACCTCAGTCTTTACTTGTTATTGCTTGAGACTGTTCCAAAACAATTTTTCTCCTTTTTTATTTTCTTTTCACTTTTTTTTATTTATTTTTTTTTTCCCCAACACCATCCCACACTTTTGTCCACAGACAATGGGATTTTGCCACCTTTTTATTCTGGGGCTGTGCAAGTGTGTTAACAATTAACAATGAATTAATCTCACTTAAGCTGACAGAGCCCAGACTGCTTTCGTGGCTGTGAGTGGGAGCAGGAAGGCTTTAAAAATGCATTTATTCCATTTTTTGCCACCTCCCCTTTCAGGTGGGTAATTCTGAAACAAAAAAAAATTCTATTTAAAGACAGGAAAAGCAGAAAAAAATAATAAAAAACCCACCACTGGGAGTTGCCAAAGAATTATGGAATCATTAAGGGTGGGAAAGACCTTTAAGATCTAAACTAAAACATGTCCCCAGGTGCCACCTCCACGGGTTTGTGAGCATTTCCAGGGGTGGGGACTCCACCACTGCCCTGGGCAGCCTGTCCCAATGCTTTCCAACTCTTTCCAAGAAAAACATTTCCCTAATATTTAATCTCAACCTCCCCTGGCCTTCCCAAAAAGCTTTTTGGGCTGTAACTTCTGTGTGGAATCACCTTGTTGGGTTGGGAAGGATCAGAAATCAGGAGTCAAAATCAAGAGGTCTGGGCTTGCAACCCGCAGGAAAAATCACTTTAAAAGGCCTACCCAGATAGGGACATCCTCCCACAGCTTCCTATTTCATAATTTTACCAGAAAAAAAAGTATTTCACAAAATAATAGAACCACATTTTATCTTAGGAATTCTTTTAACAACAACCGGGCGCGTTCGGTCGGGATGTCACGACTTGGCGGTCGCCCCCACATTCCCACCCCACAAACCAGGCAGGGACCTGCGGGCAGATCCTTTCCCAGAGCCTAAAGGAGGCCGAAATTCCCTCCTGGGATGTCCTACCTGGGTAAAGAAGGGCTCGTAGATCTCCACCCCTTTGTCGGAGCCCTGCAGCAGCACCTCCTGCCCGCGGCGCCAGCTGTACCGCACGGGCGGGTTGGAGTTGGCCACGCACCTGAGGAACACGGTTTTCTCATAGTAAAACTGCTCCTTGGCCTCCCCAATGCTCTGGTGGACTGTCACTATTGGGTCATCCAAATCTGGGGAAGAGACAGGAAGAAAAAGCAACATAAAGTCAGGTTTTAGTTGAGTCTCCAACGGGAAGCGCGTGCGTTGCGTTGTGAACGAGTCAAGAGCAAACAGAGGCAACAGGTTGGATTTCCCTCCTATAAACACAGATCCACAAGCCCCAAACTTTAGGGATTTTGCAGCAAAATTCAGGTTTGGAGCTTGTTTTAATTTGGAGTTCTAAGTTTCATTTCTCAGCAAGAAAAAGTAAGATAAAGTCAGGCTTTAGTTGAGCCTTTTAATGGGAAGTATTTGTGTTGCATCGTGTTCGAGTCCAAAATAAACAGAAGCAACGTTGCTCCATGAGCCATAAATTTTAGGGATTTCACAGCAAATTTCAGTTTTGGAGCTTGTTTTCATGTGGAGTTTTAAATTTCATTTCTCAGGAAGAAAAAGCAAGATAAAGTCAGACTTTAGTTGAGTCTGTGATGGGAAGCATCATGTTCAAGTCAAGAATAAACAGAAGCAATATCACTCCATGAGCCATAAATTTTAGGGGTTTCACAGCAAAATTCAGTTTAGGAGCTTGTTTTCATGTGGGTTTTTAAATTTAATTTCATTTTCTTTCAGGAAGACAAAGCAAGATAAAGTCAGGCTTTAGTTGAGTCTACAACATGAAGCGTGTGTGTCACATCGTGTAGAAGCCAACAGCAAAACACAGGAAAAACAGTCCCATGAGCCACAAATTTTAGGGATTTTGCAGCAAAATTCAGGTTTGGAGATTGTTTTCACGGGGAGTTTTAAATCTCATTTGATTTTCTTCCAGGAAGACAAAGCAAGATAAAATCAGGCTTAGTTGAGTCTCCGATGGGAACCACATGGATGCAAGTCAAGAGCAAAACAGAGGCAACACAGCCACAGATTTTAGGGATTTTGCAGCAAAATTCAGGTTTGGAGCTTGTTTTAATTTGGAATTTTAAACTCCATTTTAATCCCCCCTTTTAAAACTCCAGTGGAATGGAGCTGCATTTCCCACTCACAGTTTTTAGGCACAGCATCATCTCCGATGCCACACGGGATAATGCCAATCATATTTTTATGATGTTTCCATTACTCCTTTGGTTTCAGCTGCTTTTTCAGCTTTACTACTTGTTTCTTTTATGCCTTTCAGACGAAATTACGAAGCTTTGGAAATAAATAGACAGCCTGATTTGCATCCTAATGGCAGGAGCCACCAGTGCATAGATCATGTGCACGCAGCTGTTTTTCCTTTAAAGCTGCAGTTTAATACAGCAATTTAATGCACATTCCCTTCTTTTAGTTACAGGCATTTAACTTCCAGCAGGTAAATTCATCACAGGCTTTAGAACACACTCCTCTTGATTAAAATACAGATATCATATAATTACTCCCACTGCAGCAGCAGCTCCAAAGAAAATGAGAGCCCCCCCACCACCACTGCAGAATTCCCGTATGGAGGGAAGGAACAACGATAGGCCTTGGAATGTGAGTGCACCAAGGTGAGAAAATTGGGCTTTATTCCACCAGGAGTGAGCAGACTCCTCTCAGCTGGGTGGTTATTATGGGCTTTGTTGGAAAGAACAGTTACACTGAGGGAGGAAAATCAAACACAAGAAGGAAGATTAAACACAGCAATGGATATTTTTCCTAAGTACTGGTTGAAAACACCCAACCTCCAAATGGCCACCCAGTTCCTTCCCAATATCCCTCTGGCAGTGGGAAGCCATTCCCTGTGTCCTGTCCCTCCATGCCTTGTCCCCAGTCCCTCTCCAGCTCTCCTGGAGCCCCTTTAGGCCCTGCAAGGGGCTCTCAGGTCTCCCTGGAGCCTTCTCTTCTCCAGGGGAATCAACATTCCCACTCAGCCTTGACTGAAATCATTTCAGAACCGTTTTCCCCTAAAATTTCCACAATGCTTTGAGTAGGGATTAATTCATCACTCAGCCACAAATTCAACCCCAGTTTTGCCAAGCCTTGTGTGAGTAACAAATGAGAGGACAATTCACCAGCTTTATCTGAGGCCACAATTCAGGGAAATGTAGAACAAGGGGCTCCAATCCTCATGTGAGCACTGCTGACAAGGGCAACCCACACACCCAAGTCCCTCATTGAAGGTGGGGAATCATGGAATCACAGAATTGATGAGGCTGGAAAAGCCCTCCAGGATCACCCAGCCCAACCATCAACCCACCACCACCAGACCACGTCCCCCAAGTGCCACATCCACGTGTCTTTCCAACACTCCCAGTGACTCCACCACTGCCATGGGCACCTTGTTCCAATACTTAACAACCCTTTCCATGGAGAAATTTCCCCAAGATCCAATCTAAATCTCTCCTGGTGGAACTGGAGGCTGTTTCCTCTCCTCCCTGGAAACAAGGACAGTTGTTTTTGGGGCAGCATCACGTGCATGTTGCTCAACCCCTGCTGGAACCCCCCCCAGTGTGTTGTGTGAGGTGTCCATGGGTGTGGCAGTTCTTACAACATTTGGGATTTTGTCCCTCCCCAGGAACTGTGAGCCCCGTGGGAGTAAGGGAAAACCACAGTTAACAAACTGAATAGCTTGGAGTGTATCAAAACCCCCAGTGAAAAGCAGTTTGCACCTAAAAATCAGTGCTGAGCTGCTCCACTTGGATTTGCATAACAAGGGCAAAGCCTCTTGGTTAATTTAGAAGCAAAACATGTTCCAAATTTTGCAGTAATTGAAGCAATGATACCTTGTAATGGGGCACAGATTTTAAGTAAATGTTACCCTCGTCCTACCCAACAAAACATTTAATTCCATATCACAGGAGCAAATTGTGGAACTGCTGCTCCAAATTAGGCTGACATTTCCTAATGAGATGGCAGGGTTGGTTTAAAGGTTATTTGAAATCCCAGCAGCTTTGGAAAAGGGGGGTTCTGTCTTCTACTCGTGCAGGAGGAAATAAAAAGGAGCAGATTAAGTGGCTGCAATTTTTAGGGCAAAGCACCTGTTTCCCTGGGTTTTCTGATGGGAACAGAAGGTTTCCCACAGGAAGGATTTCCAGGCTATGCTTGGGTGGCAGGCAAGGGATATTAAGGATCAATCAATTCCACCCCCTGCCATGGGCAGAGACACCTCCCACCAGCCCAGGCTGCTCCAACCTGACCTTGGACACTTCCAGGGATCCAGGGGCAGCCACAGCTTCTCTGTCCAACCTGTGCCAGGGCCTGCCCACCCTCCCAGCCAGCAATTCCTTCCCAATCTCCCATCTCTCCCTGCCCTCTGGCAGTGGGAAGCCATTCCCTGTGTCCTGTTCCTCCATCCCTCATCCCAAGTCCCTCTCCAGCTGATCCAACCCTGGCAGGGGGAAGCAGGCCCTGTGCTCTGCCAGGGGATGGATTTGGATAAGAGCAGAAGGAAACCTCAAAGCATTCCAGGCTGGGAATCCAACTGCAGCAAAACCCCTGCCAAAGCATTTCATAATGGTCAATTCATGGAAAATTCGCACTGCAGAACTGGATGGAATATTTTTCCATCCTAAGTGCTGGAAAAATCCCGGCAGCTGCGGCAAAGCAAGAGGAGCAGCAGGAACAGGAGGGAAAATAACCCTGCCAGTTGTTGGGAGATCTCACTGATCCTGCCCCGTGTTGGGCAGGGCCAGGCAAAGCTTTCACAGGGCTCTTACACAAGGCTGAGCTTTGCTCAGGCACAGCGAGGGCTGAAAGGTATAACGAGCATTAAAAGTATAAAAAAAAAAAGAACAACCTTAAAAAGATGTTTTCTGGATCATAGTGCCAAGGAAGAGATCACAGAGGAGGCATGAAACTCCCAAATTCCCTGCTTTTAGCCACCTGATCCCTGGGGGAAGCTCTGCAGAGCTCCCGTTCCTGGGGCTGAATGAATTGTTATTAATTGAGATTCAATTTTATAGAGAGACTTTTAAAAAAACCTATTTAAAGCTCTGTGGTCCAACAGCACAGGGATGTGGAGCTGCTGGAGAGAGTCCAGAGGAGGCCCCAAAGATGCTCCAAGGGTGGAGCCCCTCTGCTCTGGAGCCAGGCTGGCAGAGCTGGGGGGTTCCCCTGGAGAAGAGAAGGCTCCAGGGACACCTGAGAGCCCCTTGCAGGGCCTAAAGGGGCTCCAGGAGAGCTGGAGAGGGACTGGGGACAAGGCATGGAGGGACAGGACACAGGGAATGGCTTCAAACTCCTTTAGATGGGATATTGGGAAGGAATTGCTGGCTGGGAGGGTGGGCAGGCCCTGGCACAGGTTGGGCAGAGAAGCTGTGGCTGCCCCTGGATCCCTGGAAGTGTCCAAGGCCAGGTTGGAGCACCCTGGGCTGGTGGAGGTGTCCCTGCCCATGGCAGGGGGTGGGATGGGATGATCTCCGAAGTCCCTTCCAAGCCAAACCATTCCAGAATTCAATCATTTCCAACCCTGCACAAAAATAACGCTGTGAGGAGGAAATAGAAAGATTTAGAATTTGGAAGCTCAAGATGAATCACTTTAGTGCTTCACAAGAATGAAAAAAATTTTATAAAAAAACAAAAACCAAATTTTCATTTTGGGTTGATCAAATTACGAAGAGTCAACTGACTAATCACTCTTTAAATTAAACTGAAGTCATGGGTGTTGCTACATAGTTAAAGCCTATTAATCAAAATGAAAATAATTACAGAAATATGTTTTCCACTGAGGTTTCTGCCACCATTAGGTTCAATTTTTCAGTCTTTAGACTCGGAATTGAACCAAACAGCTTCCAACACCCAGATGGCACAGGCATGCCGAGCTCTGCACTGCAAGAATTCCCTGCACACATCCCTGAGCTCCCAAAAAAACCACCCAGTCCAGGCTGAGGAGATCAGGATGGGTCTGATCTGAGCGAGGTGAGAGCCGGGAATGTGGGTGTGGAAGGTGCTCACAGGTGGGGCACAGGTCACTGTGTCCTCTCTGTGCTGGATTCCACAGCATGGGAAGTGTTGTCTGGGAGCAGGAAACACGGGCCATCTCCCACAGGATGGCCTGGGATAGTGGGAGGGGGGTTGGAAC